CCCACACACACACACACACCGAAATGGGCGAGACAGAAGCGAAGGTGGTTCTTAAAGAGACAGAGGCCAATTTCAAGGCATTTAGAAGAAGAAATGATGAGAAGATAAGTTTATTTTCTATTTAAACATAAATACATCATTTTAATAACAGCTAAAGGTGACATAGATACTTTATTATGGTATAGTATTTAAATATATTCCTGAGAAACACATAATATTGGCCCTTTAAGAAAAATATGGGTTTTTCCTATAAACTTCAACTAAACGACTAGGATGTCCTGAGTTAGAATATTTTTAGTTGCTCACCCTGCAGTGACCAAAGGAGGTGACTTCAGTAGAAAACATCCCAGGACCTTCACTACAGTGAGACAGACACGTCAACAGGGCAAGGCTGTTCMTCGCCGGGATTTCCTGTCTGATGTCTTTCCAAGCTGCTGCAACACTACGTGCACCTGCCATCTTTATAAAGCAGATCCTCTTAGATGTCTATCTCTGAAATCTAGCACAGATCTCTGTCCATCTTTATTATTGGTCACCAGAGATGCAAGCTGCTGAAATAAAGTGATAGAGATGATTGTTTTTTTTTCCAACAGCGAGTAGAAGCCCTGGCTTGCAAAACAGTGTTTATGTTCAAAACAGGATGTTGCAGCCACTTACAGCTTTTCCTTTAATCGTGGCCTTGAAGGAAAGTGAACTCAGACATCTCAACACTCAGTTTGTGGCTTACACAAACACATAGCCAATCACATACTGCACAAAACTCTTAAAATCAAAGACTCTAAAACAGATGCAACGTGTTTGCTCTGTTTGTGCAGAAAACCCCAGCCTTTGTTTTTATTCATAGTCATTCAGCCTGTATATAAACTGGATTTTCCAAAAGACGTCAGACATGAGTTCACTCCTCTCTTCTTTAACWTGACAGGAAAAAGTTGGAAGCACGACATGCTGTTGCTATAAACAGTAGTCTTTTTTTTTTCGTGTTGCTCCCGAAGGTCAGTAAACCTAACGCACACGTACACACAAAACACACACATTTCCTCTCTGACAGGAAGTGGCAGGCAAAGCAGGAGAGAGACTTAATATCTGAGGTAAAAGCACTATAAATAGGGAGTATTGTAGTTGGCAGATGGAGAAGGAGAGAAGGAGACAGGAAAGGCTACGTTAGACAAATTTACAGCTCGACCTCGATTGCATGTGAGAACACACTGGCTGCATTTGAAGCAAAAAGGATGAAACATTCCTTTGAGGACTTCAGAGGAAGTTAGAATAATAAGATCAGTTTCCCTCTCAGTTTACATTCAGATGATTGGAAGCTTTGTTTGTATCTAATCATTAAAAGTTTTTTATGTTCTTTTGAAAGACAAAGTGCTTATAACTTTGTGTGTGTAATTTAATAACATTATATGCAGTTTCATGTACGTTTCACGTTTCTGCACCGTCTTCTCCAAACAACTGCAGATTTATTTTGTACACTCAAAAAACATGTTGGGTTTACAGTAAAGCAACTTTACTAATGCAAATCAACGTTCACGCTCACTTTTAAAGAAAATGTGAAAGTTGCTTTACATTTACTCAACTCAGCTGAGTGGAACCAGTTGACATAGCTTAACTAAGTAAATCCAACACATCTGGTTTTTGAGTGAAGGCATCATAAACAGTGTTGTATAAAGTACTTCAAAGTGATACTTGAGTAAAAGTACAAATATAATGTAATAAAATTACTTCGGTAAAAGTTAAATTCTCCTCTAAGAATATTACTTGAGTAAAAGTCTTAAAGTATCAGATTGTTTTGTACTCAAGTATCAAAGGTAAATTTCTGACATAAAATATACTTAAGTATTAGAAGTAAAAGTATTGAGTAAAAATTAGCGGTTAGGTTTTCCAAAATTTGTTCATTGGGAGGTGATCCGTCCAAATAAATATTTTTTTTCTAAAAACATTCAGCTGTGATGGATTGCATAAAAAKTAATACASTATCAGAATGGTACTGCATTATAGTACATTTATACTTCTCATCCTCCTTCAATTAAATTCACTCCATCCAGGATGCCCAGTTTTTAGGATAATATTCTTTAACACTAACAATCTGAAACAAAATAGGATAAATGACTTCCTATTTCTAAACTTGTTAAAAACTGTAAGGAGTAGAAAGTACAGATAATTGTGTAAAATGTAAGGAGTAAAAGTAAAAAGTAGGCTGAAAAATAACTATTCAAGTAAAGTACAGATAACCAAAATTTCAAATCTGCAGCAAAAAAACAACAACAACTGTACAGGCACAAATAAAGCCCTGAAAAGACTTTGAATAAACTATATAATATGTAAAAGTACACTAATAAATAAACTGCAGTACCCATTACTCACAGTGTTTGTTGTTCCCGTGTGCACTGTGACTAACCACAACCAAAAACAAATTCCTTGTTGATTCTGATTCTGAAACAAAAAGAATAGATGGTTTCTGAAGCTAGGTGAGAACAAAACAAATGTCATTGTGTCTGCAGAAGCAGAGCCACCACATTGTAAAGTCTTGACCTGGAAACACGGAGGTGGATGTGTAATGATATGGGGCGGCATGTTTGCTAAATATTTGTGTAAGGGTCAGATTTATGATTTATGTATAAATACATGCGGCTAAAGTTAAATATTAGCTGCTGGGATCAT